GACCTCTGTATCTCACAAATTATCAGCTAATTTGAAAATCTTAAACTACTATCAGATAGTCCTAAAAAAGTGGCTATGAGAATGTGTAATTAGTTTTTTGATTTTCTAAAAAGTAACGACAGGGAAAAACAAAATTGATTTTCCAAAAAATCCATTTTTTCCAAAAAACTCAGCAATCCTTCAAAATTTTAAAATTTTTTGATGGCATCTAGGTAAACATCTCAAGGCGCAACTTTGCCCCAATTTAACCATCTTCGTATCTATTACGGTTTCCGAGATACCAATGCTCGCACCTCGAATTTGTAGCACCCTGTATATAATTAGCCGAAAATTTAGTCACAGCATATCCGGATTTATTAACACATTAGCCATTATTAACTTATTTAGTGTGCTCTATTATTGACAACTTCAATATTAGCATATGTTTAGTTGAACATCCTTCAATATAGCACAAATTTAGATTGTAATTTTCGTACATATTAAACAACACTCTACTAGTATGTCAACACTCGTCATTTTCTTTACGAAAATACAAATTGCCTTGGACTGTAATGACATCATGTCATTCATATAATTTTCACTCATAATTTTCTTCAAGTGTTTCAGTAATGGTACTTGATAAATTTAACATTAACATTTTCATTTGAATGTTTTTACAAAATTTGTGGGCTGTTTACAGATATACAGGGTACCAAGTACCCAGTGATCTATACTGGGTATTTTTCAAAAGTGGCTCACACCTATTAAAAATGCACTAAAAATAAATTTGCTTCCGTGGACTTTGAACCACGTGATTTTTTTTATAGAAACAATAAATGTTTTTATTTTTAAATGTTTGCTTTGATAATTCCCTGTAAATAACGAGTGAATTTTTTTATAAAAGTCAAAACAAATGATTCATTCATAATATCAACGATAATTAATGTATACCGGGTGCGTCTCAAAAGTGACTCACCCATGTAACTTTTTTATTTTTTCAGTTAAAAACGAGATTTGGTGTGTTAGTATATGATATAAATTAGGATTGATTGACGTACTTATTCAATTGTTTTCGCTCACTTCCTGTTTTACCGGAAATTACTACAACTTTTGATTCTCAGTATTTTTTTTAGTACTTTATTCGATAGAAAATAACACTCTGAATAGAATGACATGTCATATGTCAACTTTTGACATTTTCGCATATGGTTTATTTGAAATTATAACTTTTGAAATATATATAATTTGAAAAAATTGAGATATGATTAAAAATACGATTTGGGCATTTTTAACGGGCCAGGACAAGACACTAAAAACATTAGACGATCAAATCTATTTTTCCAAGGCACCTTGATTAAGAATTATTAGTATCTTTAACATAGCCATGGCACTCTAGATTGAAATTTAAAATACAATTTTTTATTAAGCGAGAATGTCAAAAGTTGACATATGATATATGTCATTCTATTCAGAGTGTCATTTTCTATCGAAAAAAGTAAAAATATACCGAGGGTACCATTGAAAAATCAAAAGTTATAGTCATTTCCGGTGAAACAGGAAGTGACCAAAAACAATTGAATGCGTCAATCAATCTCAATTTATGTCATATACTAACACACAAAATCTAGTTTTTTTTTATCTGAAAAAATAAAAAAGTTATAGGGGTGAGCCACTTTTGAGACGCAACAGGTATAACCCAAATTAAATTATATCTATTTTTATTTTATGTATTTTACATTTTAAGGACTATTACAATACATAGGTAGATTTATTCAGGAAAGTATTATTCAGGTATGTAAATATTTTATTATATTTAAATTGACATGTCTATTCTATTTTTTATTGATAACAATGACTATCATTATAAAAAAGCATTTAAAACAATTAACAAATTTATATAACACAAGTGTATTAATTTTTAAAACAACAATTTATTGACCTCGGCTATGGCGTGCTTTCTCAAAAATATTATTACTATTTTATGCACATTGACCTCTAATAAAAATTGATAGTTTTTTTAAAAAATGCAGATGTTACGCAAAAGGTCACATTGTTGAATTTGACTCAAGACAAGGATCTCTTAGGAAATATCTAGATAATAGTCAAATTAATAAAAAAATGGATTTTTGCAATCGTATATGTTTAAGTTTAAAGTATGATGGAAATAAACATTTATTAAGAAAATTATGATAGAAATAAACATTTATTAAAAAAAATAAACAATCAGTATTCCCTTCCCGGTGGTGTAGAGGTACAGGCTCTCGTCGACCAATCTCAAGGTGTGGGTTCGATTCCCACACCTGGCATTTCATCAGCCGACTATTTTTATTAAAATAAAAATAGTTTGGGTACCTAGGTCGACTCAACCTTAACATGAGTACTTGGGATTCACAATCCTGAGGTAATAATAGGGGGTTGAAGCGTAGTTCTAGCCACATTACTTTCCTTGTATACCGAACGGCTCTAGTATAGCCAGCTGTACCTTCCTACTCCCAAGGCGTTAAACGCTATATACGGGAGCTATTATTATTATTATTATAATATACAGGATATTGCATTTAAAAAAAATGACATAAAGCATTTTAAATATTTCAATGTTAGACACGCCATAAAACATACCCTGTATAAGTTAATAATTTCCTTCGCGGATTTATTCTGTTATCGTTGGTGTTAGGGAAATCTAGGTAAGCATTAATAAAGTTAAATTCACTCTAGGTTTTTGCCAATTTTGGGAGACTGTTTTTAAGCAAAGTTTTAGTAAATAAGTGGCAACACCGCATAGTGTTAAATAAAAAGAATGTACAATTCTGTAAGAAAAATAGGGGTTGGAATAAAAAAAATAAAACTTTATCATTACTTTTTTTGGGACTCCCTGTATACAGCAAAATATTTTAAGATATGCACCTTTTTAAACCATGCAACATTTATTGTATACAGGGTGTTTTTCAAAAGTGGCTTACCACTATGACATTGTTATTTTTTCAGACAAAAAAAAACAGATTTGGTATGTTAGTACTATGACATAAATCAGGATTGATTGACTTATTCAGTTATTTTCGGTCACTTCCTGTTTTACCGGAAATTACTACAACTTTTGATTTTTAAATGGTTTCCTCGGTGTTTTTTTAAATTATTTGATAGAAAATAACAGTCTTGAATTTTTCACGTTTTCGCTTAAAAATAGTATTTAAATTTCAATCTAAAGTGCAATTATTTGTTAAAAACTACTTTTTTCCAATACGCTAATGAGTCACCTTCGTTCCATTTGAAAAAATTGAGTTATGAATAAAATTATGATTGGGGACCATTTTTTAACCAGGAAACGTCACAAAAAATATTAGTCTATCAAATGCATTTTTCCAAGGCTCCTTGATTAAATTTATTGGTTTTAACACAGCCATGGCCCTCTAGATTGAATTTAAAACTATTTTTTAAGCGAAGATATCAAAAGTTGACATATCATATATCATTCTATTCAAAATGTTATTTTCAATCGAATAAAGTAAAAAAAAAGTATCGAGGGTACAATTTAAAAATCAAAAGTTGTAGTCATTTCCGGTAAAACAGGAAGTGACCAAAAACAAATGAATATGTCAATCAATCCTAATTTATGTCATATACTAACATACCAAATGTCTTTTTTATCTGAAAAAATAAAAAAGGTATAAGGGTGAGTCACTTTTGAAACAAACCCGGTATACCGGGTGCTTCTCAAAAGTGGCTCATTCCTATAACTTTTTTATTTTTTCAGATAAAAAAGACATTTGGTATGTTAGTATATAACATAAATTAGGATTGATTGACGTATCACAATTGTTTTTGGTCAGTTCCTGTTTCACCGGAAATTATTACAACTTTTGTTTTTTAAATGGCACCTTCGGTATTTTTTTACTTTATTCGATAAAAAATGACATTCTGAATAGAATGACATATCATATTTTGACATTCTCGCTTAGTGAAAAATCGTATTTTAAATTTCAATCTCGAGTGCCATGGCTATGTTAAAAGCACTAATTTTTAATCAATGAGCCATGAAAAAATAGATTTGATCGTCTATCGTTTTTAGTGTCTTATCCTGACCAGTTAAAAGATGTCCAAATCATATCTCAATTTTTTCAAATGGATCGAGGGTGGCTCATTAGCATATCTGGAAAAAGCATTTTTTATAAATAATTTGATACTATACACTTGGTATTTTGAGTCAAACTTTCATTATGAACCGCATGTTATAATTTCAAATAAACCATATGCGAAAATATCAAAAGTTGATATATATGATATGTCATTCTATTCAGAGTGTCATTTTCTATCAAATAAAGTAAAAAAATACTGAGGGTGCCATTGTGCTATTTAAAAATCAAAAGTTGTAGTAATTTCCTGTGAAACAGGAAGTGACCGAAAACAACTGAACACGTCAATCAATCCTAATTTATGTCATATACTAACATACCAAATCTCGTTTTTGTAACTGAAAAAATAAAAAAGTTATAGGAGTGAGCCACTTTTGAGACGCACCCGGTAATTTTTTTATATCTTTATCAACAACGATGATATTGGATTTCTTAATTTTAGCGAAAGAAACCAAGAGGGTGCTTCTTTTACTGTCATTAAATGACATGCAAGTCAAAGTTTGAAAAGGGACTCTCTTGTGGCTACTGAGCAGTCTGAAATAATTCCGCAGATAGGTACTTTTTTTGAAAACGCAGTACGCACGACAGACAGTGTATTAATTATTAAAATTTGCATTTTTTATTCAAAAAATTTAATTCACGATTATACCTTTAGACGAGATTTCGAAAAACAAATGTAATTTTTCTTTTTTTATTCTTTTTTCCCTTTAATTTTATGCCAATTAACCCAGCACAATAATGTTCGTATAATAATTCATGTTAGAACTTACTGTTTTATTTGAGTAGGTACTTGTCTATAATTATATATTCATGTTATATCCATTAGTGTAAATATTTAGTTTGAATAAGTCACCACCCCACTACTTCTTGTACCCAGCAAAGCTAACGCACTAAATCCAACCAAGACACCACACACCCACTTCGATTAACGCGCGATTTAGAACCTAGAGCGATACCCGCCGAATCAACCAACGAATCGACAGTTTAACCGTTAAAAGTTCGGAATTAACTTGATAAAAGTCGATGATCGCGCTCCAAGAATTTTCTCAATTTTCTTCAATTTCTTTGCGAAAAAGAATGCTGTTTCTTAATACCGTTTTGATATTATTATAACACAACTCCGTCAAAAATGAATTTGTTAAATTTCCCGTTTTTTGCCATTTTGTATATCGTGGTCACCAATATAAAATGTGCGGAAAAATCAGCGATATACAGTGAGAACGCTATTAAATTCGAGGCGATATTTTCGAGCGCGTTAAACAACGGTAACGTGGTGGAAATCGAGAATTTCCCTGAAATTTTCCGAAACTTTTCTCTGGCGACCGATTCCGAACTGAAAGTTGAACTGGAAACTAGTGTTTTGAGTGAGGAGGAACGAGGAAGGCAATGTTTAAGAAATGTGACAAAATGTATTGATGAAGGTAAATAGTAGGAATAAATTAATAAAAAAATCATCAATTACTATACAGGGTGGGTCTTAAATAAGTGCATATATTTTTAGGGGGTAATATATCTCGACTTTATATAGAAACATGACTATGAGTTTTTTCCGTATTTTTTTGTTAAATTCGGAATTGTTTAAAAGAATTTTTGCAATTTTTTAAAATTTTAAGTTAAAATACAAGATACTTTGATAATATTACAACATAGGTAGTAGATTAAATTTACAAGAAATATAATCCAGAAAAGATCTAGTGGTTCTCAAAATTTAAGCAAAAAAAAATGTTGAAATTTTCAAAGCAAAATAACTCGGTTATTTTAGACTTATTTGAAAAACGGTAAAAAGAAAATATGTTTCTTTTATTTGAGAAGGGCTGATACCTTAAAATATTTGCACTTATTTAAGACTCACCCTGTATATTTTCAAATGTTATTGCAAACTTTCAAATATTATTGAGACTTTTATATCATTAAAAAAATATAGGTTTTTATAATTTATGGCAGGATGTAAATTAAAATATAACAATCAGGAATATCTCTTGGACAAAAATAAATACTTAGTAAAATCAGTAAAATTTGAAAAAATCAGGGAATTAATTGAGAGGGAAACATCCCGGATTTGTATTTTGAGATCTTCATGACAAAATATTTACGACAAAGTCTTTGTTGGAGTAAAAATTACTCCTTTTCGAATATATCGCTTACTTATACTTACTTACTAAACCCATACCGGGGGCGTCCCAAAAGTGGCTCAGCCCTATAACATTTTTATTTTTTTAGATATAAAAACGAGATTTAGTATGTTAGTACATGATGTAAATTAGTATTGATTGACGTATTCAATAAACTATTTTTGGTCACTTCCTTTTTTTCACCGGAAATGACTACAACTTTTGATTTTTAAATGGCACCCTCGGTATATTTTAACTTTATTCCATAGAAAATCGCATTCTGAATAGAATGACATATCATATGTCAATTGTAAAATTTTTGCTTAAAAAATCGTATTTTAATAATTAATCTAAATTAATTTCAGTCTAGCGCGCCATGGCTATGTTAAAAACACTAATTTTAAATCAACGATCCTTGGAAAAATAGATTTGATCGTCTAATATTTTTCGTGTCTTGTTCTGGCGGGTTAAAAGATGCCCAAACCGTATTTTTAATCATATCTCAATTTTTTCAAATGGAAGAAGGATGGCTCATTAGCATATTTGGAAAAAAACATTTTTTTAAGAATAGTTTGGTACCACACACTTGGTATTTCGAGTCAAATTGTCGTTATGAACCGCATGTTACAATTTCAAATAAAACAAGTACGAAAATGTCAAATGTTGACATATAACATGTCATTCTATTCCAAGTGTCATTTCTATGGAATGAAGTAAAAAAATACAGAGGGTGTCATTTAAAAATCAAAAGTTGTAGTAATTTCCGGTGAAACAGGATGTGACCAAAAACAATTGAATGTGTCAATCATTCCTTATTATTGTCATTATTGGGGAAATTACTTTCCCCAATAATGACAATAACAAGGAATGATTGACATAGGAATAAGGAATAAATAACTTTCGCTGCACATCATAATACGACCACCAGCAAACTCCATAAGACGACGCATTGATGACGTGCAACGAAAGTTGTTTTAGTTTCCACAAGTGCAACGAAAGTTGTTTTTCCCTTTACTAACATACCAAATCTCGTTTTTTATCTGAATAAATAAAAAAGTTATAGGGGTGAGCTACTTTTGAGACGCACCCGGTATAAAAAAATTTCGTCATTTCGTGCAAAATACAAACATTATAAAATTAAAAAGGGATTCCACTTACTTACTTAAAATAAGCAAATTTCATCCACTTCCGGTTTAACTTAGTAATGGGTAAGTGAATATTTTACAAAAAAAAGTTCACCCGGAAATGACATTAAAAAACAATTAAAAAATATCACTTAAAATTGTTTCTAAATTATGTCAAAAATAAACTTTCAATAAATCAATTGCGGAAAAACCACTACACATAAAATAAACTAAATTTTTTAAATTTGTTGAAGGATAGCCAAAATTGAGAATAATTAATAAATCTCCCTATTATTGTGTAATATCTCTCAAGCAAGTGTGAATAGTTACTTGTTTGTATTAATAATTAATAATACTCTGAAATTTTTAATATGTAAAAGAACTTTAAATTTATTACTGTTAACATACGTTTTTAAACAAAATATACTAAAATTGAGGACATTTTGTTTGTAATATAATAAGTATACAGGGTGTCCCAGGTTGATCGTGCATTAGAAGTTTCTAGAGAACCACAATATCTAGGTCGGAGATTTTTTTGCACATCATTGTTTTACAACGAGATCTATCGATTAAAAACATTTTCAATATGGTGGCACTTCCGGAAATACCGGAAGTTGACTACAACTTTCATATTTTAAATAGCCGCCCCTATTTTTTATTACATACTTACATTCTCTGTAAAATTCTATGAATATTGATGTTAAACACTCTATATCTAACATTAACCGTTTTTGAGAAAAAAAACTATCTGTCAAAAAAATTTGTATAGCCTAAAAGTCAAATTTAGTGATTACCACAGCCACTGTGACATAAAGAGAAGACACGTGGCTATCTATTTCAAAAATTAAATTGTTCAAATATCATATAATAATGGCGGTAGATGTCATGGAATTGAGCGATTAAAAAGTTATCATAAATATTTTTTTTTTAATGGAAACCCACTTTTTTATTTCACTAATGAAAAGGTTTTTCATTTCGTTACTTTTCAACCATATACATGTTCCTATACCAAAAATAAATCGTTTTTAAGTTATTTCAGATTTAGTTTGAAAACGTATATTTTTCTTGATTTTATCTAGCTTCCTTTGACATTAAATGTCAAAAAATCAGACAATTTATTTCCATCTGTCAGAAAACAAATTATTTGAATTTCCTATATAGTAAATACTGTTGCTTGAAAGTTTAAAAAGTGTATTTATAAAAATATATCTCGTATTTTCGCCCTTTAGTGATATCTAATAGTTGATATTAATTATATGAATAATGTACTGTATCAACCCTGAAAAAAAAACAACGCAAAGTCGGCTTGCAAATGATGATCTATAACATATTGCTTTTTGAAAGTGTCACAATACGACATGGCCAGATCTATTGTTTTACATCACTTGACGTTTAAAGTCATAGGCTACTTGTTAAAATTAAGAAAAATATACGCTTTAAAACTAAATTTTAAATAACTTAAAAACGATTTATTTTAGGTATAGGAACATGTATAGTTAAAAAGTAACGAATTGAAAAGCCTTTTCACTAGTGAAATTAAAATATTGGGTTGCCATTTGAAAAAAATTATTTATGATAGTTTTTTAATCTCTCAATTCCATGACAGCTGCAGCCATTATTATATGACATTCAAACAATTTAATTTTTGAAATAGATAGCTACATGTCTTCTCTTTATGGTACAGTGGCTGTGGTAATCACTAAATCTGACGTGTAGAGTATACACATATTTTTGACAGGCAGTTTTTTTCGTCCAAAAATTTAAAAAAATTTTTTTCTCAAAAACGGTTAATGTTAGGTATAGAGTGTTTGATATCAAAAATTCTCTGTAAAATTTTACAGAGAATTTAAGTATGTGATAAAAAATGAGGGCACCCATTTAATATAAGAAAGTTGGTGTCAACTTCCGGTATTTCCGGAAGTGCCGCCATATTGAAAATACTATTAATCGATAGATCTCGTTGTAAAACAATGATGTGCAAAAAATCTCTGATCTAGATATTGTGGTTCTTTAGAAACTTCTAATGCACGCTCAGCCTGGGACACCCTGTATATAATTGATTATTTTTGCGTAATATTTCTGAAGCAAGTGTGTAAAGCCCCGTACCACAGACTTATGTCTCATTTAACGCTCATTTTCACTATACGCCGATGCGTCGATTTGATGCGTTTACTATTCGTCATGCGTCCATCAATGTGTCGATGCGATGCGTCGATGCGGATCGTCGTTGCGATTCGTGAGTTCGTTTGGAAATTTGTCTATTGTGTCTTTTGATGTTCGCCCAAAAACAGACATTCGACGCATTGACGAACCGCATCGGCGCATGGTGAGTATAGGGCTTAAGCATATACTTCAAGTTAAGATTTTATTCATATTGCAAATACGCGCGCGGATGGTCCGTCGAATCAAGAGCTCGACGGATGGCAAGTAGCGATAGTGATTTTGTTAATGTCAAATTGTATTTTCTAAACGTTAAGTTTTTGCCTCATTCAAACCATTAAATTACAAAAATATATTTCGGGAACACTAAACGTAGGTACTACAACGAAGTAGTGTAAACAGCACAACACAGTTTGTTATATATACAATAATAATATATATATAATATATACAATAAATTACATTTGACAATGATAAAATCATAGGTTCACAACTTAAGGTATGTTGACATTTGACTGGTTTTGCGTTGTTACCTGTCCAGTCTTAATTTAAAATAGATGCAGTTTTTCTTAAATTACTTAAAATTGGCTTGACAAAATTATTCAAATTTGGCATGTGTATTCAGCATAGACAGAACTTTAAAAACCTTATTCACAACTTAGCTGTAAAATTAATAGGGGAGTCAGTATTTAGACAGTTCAAAATTTGCATGGGATTTCCTATATGTTTCCAACGACGATGCATCACCTGGTATATATTTTACTCACTGCTATAATTTTTTATTGAAAATTATCATATTTTTTCTGTTTAAAATACCCCTATTAATACTACAATTAATTAGATAGCCAAAAAAAGCATTTTTTATTTTTTTTGTTATTAATAAGATCTAAAATAACATTGATTTATTTATATCCATTTGATAATTAGTAATGTAATGTTTAATAATTTTACGTCTAATTTATATAACAAAATTTGTTAATTGGAGGTTAAACACCTTAAGCAATATTAGAACCATAATTTCGTGAT